CCTCTTCCCACCATGCACTGTGACAGTCGTCACCCCTGTCTGCCTGTGTCCCCTCTTCCCACCATGCACTGTGACAGTCGTCACCCCTGTCTGCCCTGCCTGTGTCTCCTCTTCCCACCATGCACTGTGACAGCCATCACACATTCTCTCTCCTTCGGGCCATTGCTTAAGTCTGATTTCTCTCCTCCAAGCATAGATGTTGTTTGTTGTTTTTTGGCTCTTTGTGGGGGGGGGGGGCACCCAGCTCCCAAATAAATCACACATGGAGACTTACTATTACTTATGATAGCCAGGACTTAGCTTGGCTTAGTTTCTAGCCAGCTTTCCTTAAATTAACCTGTCTATCTTTTGCCTCTGGGCTTTGCCTGTTCTCTTACTGCATATATTAATAGAAATGGGCTGAGTTGAGTTGTAAGAGCTAGCTCTCGGGAAGCCTGAGCCATTAAGCCATACAGTTTGTAAATAATATAAGCCTCTGTGTGTTTACTTGGGACCAAGAGGCTGTGGGACACTAGTGAGTGAGAGAAATTTATCCTGACTGTGGGGCCAGGCAGGACTGGAGAAGCTGTTTGTTGTAAATAATGCTTTTGGGTGCTAAACATCTATACTTACCTATACTTCCCTCACTGTGGAGAGGAGCAGCTGGACTTCTGGGCTCTGCATCACTAACTGTGGGGCTTGTCCTCCCACTGGGACAGGGGTTGTCTTCTTGTTCTTCTTCCTCTGTCTCAACACTGTCGGTTGGAGTGTTCAGGGAATTGTAAGCCTTCTCCCCATCAGAGTAAAGCAATGAGCTCTATAATGAGCTCTCATAAATGAGCTCTTCTCCAAATATTTTTGGATAATTCTCAATAAGAAATCTGACAAGAGAAATCTGTGAAAAAACAAGGCAAACCCAAAGGGTCTCTGTCATTTTGCATGGTTGTAAATCACATTTAATATATAAACCCAAAGGGTCTCTGTCATTTTGCATGGTTGTAAATCACATTTAATATATAATATATAATCCTTTTAATATATAAAAGTATGTAGTTCAAAATTCAGAGAAAAAGGCAGCTTCTATATAATATGGGAGTTGTTAGAAATATGAAAGAAGATTTTTGAGATCAGATGGTAAAATGCGATCATCACAGTACTACATAAAAGGATGATTTCTAGTGTTCCCAATGTGATGGCCAGTATATACTGTTAACTTGAATAACTTTTGTTCCATTTGTGGCAGACATAGCTGAGCATGTCTCTAAGGATGCTTACAGAAAGGTACAGTTAAGGAGGGAAGCCTCAATGTGGGCTCCATCCTATTGAAAGTTCCTACTGAGTGACTAAAAATGAAGAGACAGGCAAAGCCAACTGAGCAAGAGCATTCATGTGTCTCTGATTGCTCAGTTCAAGTGCAATGTTAACAGCTTGACAAACATGTTCATTATTATAAGTAACTTTGTAACTCTGTAGCCTTGGTCCCGGGTTTCAGCACCAAAATATAAGTAACTTAGGTGCAATTCTGGGGGTTTGCTTAGGGCTGCTAGGACAGCTGATGGCTGGAGCTGCAAAGAGACAATTCAGCCAGGGAGGGCAAGGTATCCTGGACATCTGGAACTGCTTAGAACATCTCTGACCTGGAGGTGTCCCAGACACCTTGGGATGCTTAGAACAGCCCTGACAGTTGGAGCTGCAAAAAGACAGCTCAGCCCTGGAGGGAGAGGTATTCCAGACACCTCAAGCTGCACAGAACACCTCTGCCATGGAGGTGTCCCAGACATCTTGAGCTGCTTAGGAGTCCAGGGCCAGGGTGCTTTCCTGTCTGTGATTGGTTGATTCCACAGGTCAGTTGGCCAGGGGCAGAGATGACTCTGGTCTGAGCCTACCTGTGTCTCCTTCACTGGCCTTTCTTAGCTTTTTGACATGAATTCTAAGGCCACGGCACATATCTTTCACTGACTCTGATTCTAGGGACCAAGAGTGTTACTTTGGTAGTGGTTTCAGAGTCAGGGCATGTTTCCTTAGTTCTAGGTTTGGGGATAAAGTGTTCATTTCTCTGGCTCAGATCTCAAATCCAGTCTGTGTTTCTTTCACTGGTCCTGGGCTTCAGTACCAAGGTGCTACTTTCCTGCTCTGTGATTGGTTGATTTCACAGATCAGTTGGCCAGGGGCAGAGTCGGCTCTGATCTGAGCCTAACTGTGTTTCTTTCTGCCCTGATCTGATCCATCTTTCCCTATTTCTGGGCTCCAGGGTCAGGGTGGGTTTCTTTAGCCAGCCCCTTTTCCCTACAATTATATTGGGGAATATTTGATGTAAGGCCTATTTGCAGTGAATTGGGTAATTGTGGATCTGCAATGACATGTTGTTTGGAACCCTAGCTTTCTCTTCTGTTCGTTGATTCTACACAAAATGAGAAAAGCTGTGCTGAGTCAGGCCTTTCTGTGATGTACTTCTTAGGGGCCCAAGAGCAATTGCTCAATCAATAGTTAATCAGAAACTCAAATACTAGAGTCTTTATGCTGAATAAATTCTGGTATTTTACTGTAGTATTTGAAGTGTGCCTGCCATAGAAAAGTATCTCTAATTCAACCATAATCAGCAACAAGAGGCCAAGGATATATTTAATCACACTAACCATGTCTCAGAACAACATATCTGATAAAACAATTCATTTTGCCTTTGTTTAGTTGGGAAATCACCTTGAAAACAAGTAGAAATTCACACATTCCTCAGTGATCACATCAAGGGTCCAGTCTTGATTTTCTAACCCACACCTGCGTTTTCTTATCATTTCACAATGTTAGCTCTCAGTGGGTTAGTCTAACAATATTCCAAATCACAATCAACAAAGGACTGAGTCACTGAGCTCAAATAACCATTTAAATTCTACTTACTTAAAACCCACAAGTGATTTTTCCTCTCCAGATGAATGAAAATCAAAGGGGTACTCATTTAAAAAACAAAAACAAACAAAAAACAAACCCCAGACTCTCAGGATAATCCTGTATTCCTGTCTCATTTGTGTATATTTACTCTAGGCATAAATATATGTCTCATTACCTTTTTGGTGATATCTGTCAATCTTGAGTTGCCAGAACTAGGCAGGCATAGAATACACAGGGCTATGCAAATGGCTAAATTAGAAGATGTCATGTGGTTTAATTGAGAGTTTCTCTCAATTTTATATAATATTCCAAAAAGTGGTTTCAAAAGAATGATGTTTGGTTGGGGTAGTTGCTCTAAAAGACTGAACACAGAGACAAGTTATTTAAAAACAATAAATTTTACTCATGAAATTGTAAATACGAAGAGAGGGAACAGAGTAATTGTATCTTATTCATGGTTCCTTGAGAGTAAAGTGAAAGTAGGAATGTGTCCTATAAATTATGCTTGCAATATCTCTCCAAAGTCAGAAAAAGGACAAATTTAATTGATATGTACACACACACACACACACACACACACACACACACACACACACACACACACGTTACGTAAATGCTGAGATTAAAAGCATGGGCCACTGTGACTCCCCAAGTCATACTTATCCTTTCAAAATGTCTTCTGTGTTGTGAACAATTGAAACCTTTCGTTGTCAGTCAATATGTTTAGTAAATGATTCTGTGGTATATGATCTAATGTGTCTAAGCAAACATTATTCCTCTTTTGTTGGTGTTGCTCAGGAAATTAGTGAATCATTACCTCTTCACTGCAGCTACTTTCTTCTCTTCATACACTTGGTCGAGGACACCAAGCCATTCCTCATATAGTCTAGATGTCAGCACACTTCCTGGTATATTTTTTAGAAACTCCTGACATACATAGAAAAAATATTTTGTGGAAAATATATATCACAGAAATTGCTCAGAATACTTTCAACTGTAAAATTCAGCTTAGTTCCAACTTCATTCTTAGTTCCCAACCTATCCCCTATTTGGCACCTAGTCTGACATGTAGACCCACTAAGTTTTGTCCATCAAAACTAGAAACCTAAGAGCAGGTTTTGGGTAGAGCACACTGGCACACACTTAAGAGATCAATACCTCATCTCAACTCTTATGTTCAAATGACAAACATTCATTATGGTAATTTCTTCATGATCAAGGACTTTTTGCTTCTCACTCTAATGGCTCTGAAACAAGTGATCTAAGTGCATGGACCCATGCACACATAAGCCAAGGCTGGGTGAGCCTGGACTTTCTTTCATGTGCTTCATTCTCCAAGAGAAAATGCTTGTAGTAACATTGTTGTAGAATACTATTTTAAGGTGTGTTACTTTTGTTTATGTTGCATTTGTTTAACTCTGTGAAACTGTTACTTTGCCTGTCTAAAACACCTGATGGTCTAACAGAGAGCTGAATGGCCAATAGCGAGGCAGGACAGAGAAATATGTGGGGCTGGCATGCAGAAAGAGTACATAGAAGGAGAAATCTGGGGAGATCAAGGAGCCAGAGAAGGATGAGGCCTTCAGGGGCCAGACACCCAGCTACATAGCAAGCCACAGAGTAAGAATGAAAGTAAGATATACAGAAGTAAGAAAAGGAAAAACCCAGAGGGGAAAAATTAGATGGGATAATTTAAAGGTAAGAAAAGTTGGCAAGAAATAAACCAAGTTAAGGCTGGGCATTTGTAATTAAGAATAAGCCTTTGTGTGTGGTTTATTTGAGAACTGAGAGCCCCCTCCCCACCAAAAAAGAACAAAACCAACAACATAACATCCTCTAAGTGGCAGAGGAAATGGAATGTGTGTCATTGTATAGTGACTGTCAAATAAATATCACAAGACTGAGCAACAATATGGTTCCTTAAACAATATTCCTGAACAAAAATATCATCCTTAGTAGCACTAACTTGGGATGGGGAAATCTCATGAAGCCAGACTTCTAGATGAAGAACTACAGACACATAAATACTACTGAGAGTGGAAAAATAAGTCTTCCTCAAAGATGAACCCCCTAATTGGTAATCCAATACCAACTGATGGCTAAGAAATAATGCATATACTGTTAACCATTAGTGGACTCATCAGGTTGTTTTAACATTTTTTGGATGTATATGTATATATGTATATAATAACAAAAATTAAAGAAAATGGACCCTGTATTTGAGAGGAAGTGGGAAGCTGATGGGAAACATGAGAACTTAGAGCAAGGAAAAGGAAGGAATGAAATGATGTAATTTAAGTTGAATTTTAATAGTAACATAAAAGTATCATTTTATGGGGCTGAAGAGATGGCTCAGTGATTAAGAATGCCAGCTTCAAAGCCATGAGGACCTGCATTTGGATCTCAACATTGCATGAGAGGGAGACAGGAAAATCATGGGATCTTACTGGCTATGTGTAGCCAAAGTGTATATGGAGGAGATGCATGCTCTACTAAGGAAGAAAAACTCGCCTCTCAGAAAAAACTTAAAGAGTGACAAAGAATGATGAAAACTGGTAACAAAACACATCTGACTAGGCATGTACACAGGTGACACTCATGTATCTGTATAATATGACCCCCCCATACCCTATTATTATTTTGAAACCTGTTTTGCATGAGGAACACAGAGGAATCAAATAGAAGATACTTAGTCACATTACCCTTCACTGTGACAGGTTTATGCTTGAACCCTTCTGTTGTGAGCATCAGAGGAACCTTTGGCTTATCAGACTTCTATCAGTCCTGTCTACTGTCCTTCAAGAGTACACATGATGCAGGAAACTACTCACACCGATTGGGAGGAATCCTGAGTGTAGAGGATGCGAGGACTCGCCCTACCTTTAAGATAGATGCCACAACAGGGACACTTTCGTTGTTCAAGTTCACTTCTGTCCCAGAATCCAGCCTTTCTTTTAGGGATAGGAATGGTCTTATTTTGCCAGGTATGCTGAAGATACCTTCAGTGATTGGCCCCCTTACACCAATAAAGGATAGTATGTCCTGAGAAAAGAAAGAGAAACACCTGTCACTCCACTGGCAGCACAGAGCAGGTGTCCCTTCTTCTTGAGAACCAGGCTAATGGTGTGCGCAGGTGCAATGCCAGAGCTGGCGTGGACGAAGAAGACCTTGACCTGGTTTTGGTGCTTCTATCTCCTGTTGTACCAATCCTACCCTAATGTTAACCCTGAGACCTCAGGCAATGTTTATTTGTAATCAGATTTTCCACTACAGTAAAGTGATTTAATCCAACTTTTCCAATACACGGTTTATAGTGAACAGCCCTCTCTTACCTTCCTATTCTTAAGCCAATGATTTGATGCACACTTGTTTCTCCACTTGATGATAGAATCGAAGAGGGGAGGTATTTAGGAGAAGCGGGATTTTGTCCTCAGGACAGCCAGAGAAGAACTATATGAGACCTACCAGAATTGCTGTGGGTAGATTGCCATCCTCACAAATGGCAGTCAGATCTTTTCCGAAGAGTTTTCCTGTCTTCACAACTGGTGGGGTTGTGCACACTTGGTCCTGGTGAGGCACAGAGCCCTTGTGGAACAACCAGGATCTGAAAGGCCATCTTCTCTTAACTGTTGGCTCCTCTGTATCTAAAGAGGAGATGAGATCATTACACAGAGTAGTTTCATTTATGTAACCTTTGTCGCAGATTCCCAGTTTATAATGTACCTGGTGTAACGCATACAAAGAGGTCATCATTTCTGATATAAAATTCCCCACATTCTTAAGTTGGTTACTCATCCTCTGTGTGTGTGTGTGTGTGTGTGTGTGTGTGTGTGTGTGTGTGTATTCTTCTTCTCTATACTCTACACAGTTGTTAGTCTCAGAGACTTGATCTGAGTGTTCTTCAGTGGGAATTCTGTTCTTCGGTGGGAATTCTCACAACACAATGCTGTCTAGCCCCCATTACATCATGAGGTACTTGATTGCCAGTTGAACAAGCTTCCTGAGTTATATACCATCAGAGGTCTCAGTGGTCATTTCCTTTCTCACAGCCTCCCTCACTGGTATTCAGATCAAGCTGTGTTCTTGTCCTCCAGTGTCATAGTGTCCCATTCTTAGCTTTCTTGCTGAGCTTTTTGAAGAACCACTGTCAGATTTCTTTCCTCAGCAGCAGATGCCCTCATGAGAAAGTGTGCATGACTACGTTTGTCAGACAGACTCTGGGACCATGCCCCCATGTGTTAGTTCAAAGCTGAGATCAAAGTCTCTTTTTCTCTCCTGAGATTGCTTTTAGAATATTGGACCATAGTGAAATCTTTAAAAGTTACTACAAATGCATGAACAGAAAACAAAGGAGTCTCAGAACAAATCACAAAATATACAGTCTTTCTCAGCATACAATATACTGGTTGGCTTTCCAATACCAAATAGTCAGGCCTTAAAACACAAGTAATATCATTCAGATTGAGTAAGATGTGTGAATGAGTGAGTGAGTGAGTGAGCATATGTGTGTGTGTATGTTCGTGTGCACATGTGCTTATACATGTATATATGTAATAATTTTTTAAAAGACAAAAAATTTGAAAGCAATCTCAATGGTTCATGGGAGGTTTTGGAGAAAGGAAAGGGGAAAATAATGAAAGTATAGTATAATTTGAAAAAATATTTAAATAAATTCAAAGGCCCCAATATATAAATATTGGGTCCATTTCCAGTTCAGACTCAGATCTAAAGACACACATAAAACACAGTTATTTTGTGAACTGAAATGAGATTAGAGACTGGGCTCCAATCCTAAGGCCATTTCTACCCAAGTCCAGAACAGATGATCTCCCCTTCTGTACACGTAACTTTTCTGTATAACTTTCATTACAGGTTTGTCTAAGTGTAGTGATTAGGACATCTTTTGCTCTGATCATGAAACTTGATGGGGAACATATGGGGACCCAGGTCTTAGAAATCATATTCTAATGGGACCAAAGTTGTCTGCACACATGGTTATGTGTAGGCAGTATCTTGGCATACTTATGGTGACAATCTGTCTGGAAGAATAAAATGTTCTCCCTATGGACAAGCAAGTCTTGCAGCACTTAGAATTCTCTCAAGTCTGGCCTGGGGCATGTTGTTTGGTTTTTTATTTTGTTCCTTATTGTGCCCCTTTCCAAGCAAGATATGACACCATGCATTGATATTGTATGCAGAACAGAAACTGGAATTGAGAAAGGCCACTTGAAGGAAGGTCAGGGACTCACTGCTCTGCTTCTGGCTTCCTGCTGGGTCTGTGGGCTTTAGGATGAATCGCCCCTGTAGATCTGGTTGTTCCACATACAGCCCAGGCAGGGCAGGAAAAGCTGTGCACTTCCTTGATTTCTGTCGTCGTCGTTGACTGACGTTACTTTGAATGTTTCTCATGATGATGTCATAGGGATGCTCATGCTCTATGAGAAGAAAATAGGAATGTGAGTTGAAACTGAGGGTCATGAATGTGAGCAAACCTGCCAATGTGCTTTAGCATGCACTGTTACATTGGATTTCTCCTTGTGCTTCTCGACCAAGTAGACTGTACACGCTGAGCATCAGGAGCCTCCCTGGGATGCTCTGATGAGGTAAGGATGTGTAAG